ATAGCAGACATATCTTGTGTAAATAATTGGCCATAAAAAAAATAAATAAATAAATAAAAAAATCATGGAAATATCTTCATTTTTTGGATCTCTGCGATTTATGAAATGTAAATGTAGACCTTAAAAAATTGTGACAAAGTCATTATTATAAAAATGGTATACTGGCTGTACCGTTCGTCAACAAGTCGTCGTAACTCGAATGTTAATTAAAAAACAAAAAAAAAAAAAAGGTGTATTATTAGAGACTCCAGAATCCATTAGAATAAGATTGTGAACATAACCTCAAAACAAAGAATATGATTTTATATATCGAAGCCTACGTTCGTTCAAGGGTCTTGATACATTTTGGAGAATTGTTTAAATATTTTAATTTTGAAATTGCTTTGATTTCCATTTCAAGTACGTTTTGCATAGTCCTCCACCCTTGTCTTCTCGACTTCGTTTACGCCACCGTATGATTGCATAAATTCGCTGCTAGTCTCTCCTCTCCTGGCATCGTTCTATCAACTGACAACGATTTCAGTGACTTACAAAGATTTGATCAGTTTATCAAGTGCTAGTGCAGAGCATAATTGAAAACTGAGAAGAGTGAATATCAATCATAATTTTAATACCTCACGCCACCTACGATCTCTGGATGAAAATTATAAAGTTTAGTATAATATTCAATATATAATATTTCTCGCCAAATATCGGCGAAGAATTATATCTTAGCATGATAAACTAAACAAGACAGTTTTTTTCAAAATCTTCTACTGTATAAAAGAATCTAGTTTTGAATACCCTGCCATGCAAATTGATTCCAAATAATGATTTGATAGTTATTATAAATGTATTGGAACACCTTGGTTTGATTTTTGATAATTACATTATCGAACCGGTCCGAACTAATTTGAGCTATATATTTATATGATATATATATATATTTTGCACGCATTGTAAGGACAATTGAGTATTTTTTTCAAATCCTATCAGCGTATCCAATCGAACAATGAATGCTAACTATAGATTAACTGTATGAAAGGTCAGTGCAAAAGTAACTCTTATCGTCCGATTGACACAACCGCAATTAACAAAATACTTTGGAAATATTGTTGGGTGATTTTTTGGTTTTTTTTTTTTTAAATTAATCGTTTAAAAGATCGCTTAAATATACAAGAATGATTGTAAAAAGAGAATTGCGGCCGAATACATTCTAAATGAATCAGGAATTTGACTTTTCGAATATAGCTGAATAGCTGTGCAGGCGCATATGTCCGAGGTGGCGCCTCACTTGGTAACCGAGAGCTCGCATTAGATTAATTTTGTATTTTATCTTTGGCAAAAATTAATTGAATTTTGACTTGGGTAGAAGACGGTTTCACGACAATTGCAACTCATTAGTAATGAATGACGGAGTAATATTTTATATGATCTAGCAAATTTGATTTGCCGAAGATGGTCGTAATTGAAGCAAAAAATTTGACTCTTCTCGGTCGAGTTTCTCATACTCCATCAAATACTATATCAAATACTGTTTAACAATAAAAATGCCTAAGAAGCATACCCGGCAACGTTTTTTTCAATAAATCAAAATTTATCGCTTTTGTGTTCTTTTTCCAAAATAAAAAGAAAAAAAAAAACGATGTTTTCAAAAATCGAAAAAATTTTCAAGTTGTGTTTATTACATTTTGAGTTGCATTTTTATTTGCTGTTCTAGGTGCAAAACCGTGACCTATAGCGGTACGGTAATGAGGGCCAAATGCATTGTTTTTTGAAAGCAGTCACATCCCCATTTTGTTTTTAAAAATATGTATAATATTTTGTTTTACATAACCTAAGACCTGCACTTTTATGTTTAGGATGGTCTTCAATATATTCATTTTAATTGAAAGTTTCTTACTGAATAGGTTTTTTTAACTGATAATCTTAACTTGCAGTTAAATTATTTGGGCTTCCGCAATACATATTTTACTAAATATTGTTTAACTTATTGTTTTGTGCATTTGTTTAGGCATATGTTTTTATTACGTATTCCCTCTTTTTCTTATTTTGTCAGTTAACATTTTTAACTGGAAGAAAATCTAAATTAAAAAAAATTCTACAGCTAATCCCTTAACTAAGTTTTAGTTAGAATAAAACTGAATACCGCGAGATTTATTTGTGCATTAATTTTTCATGAAAACGTTTCGAAAAATCCGCAAAAGAACTTATCTTGAAAAGTCGTCACATCGGGAACTGTATTAAGCGAAGTTCCAGTAGTTTGCGGTACACTACAATTAATAGAGAATGACAAGAAAAAAAAAAATCACTTAATTACCTGAGCGCATAGATAGAAAAGGTTCGACTGACTTTAGATGAAAAGATCTCTTGGCGTGAAATTTATTTATATATTTTTTTTATCGAATTTTTTTTGCTTTTTTTATATTATATTATTTTGATAAATAATTTCTGCATTTTATACCACTGTGACTGACTGAACTGCCTTTATTATTATGCATGCAATATTAAGCTCTCTTAACGTATGCATGCATAGCGATAGAAGAACACATTCTCTTAATACTACACACGTTGGTTGACAAGTTAAATGCCGGCTAGAATTATGCGGGTATTCACTTAAATGCGCATGTATGCATGATTATGTGTGTTTGTATGCATGTGATATACGAACATATATGAATTTGAAAAAAATAATAAGAAAAAAAGAAAAAACACAAATACATTTAGTTTCTATTTTCGGTTATTTGTTTTTGTTTTTTCATGTTTGACTATTTATTTGTCATTTTGTGTATAGTAAGTATATTGTTATTGGTATTGTTGCTGCTCTTGCTGTTGCTGTTGCTGTTATTGCTTTTGCATGTATTTTTAATAGAAATAAAAATAAATGAAAAAAAAAAGTTGACCCATTTTCATTATCAAGCGCAAGATTAATTTTCTAATAAAGCATAAGTTGTAGAAATTAAAATAAAATCAGAATTATTAACAATATTATTAATAATGAAAAATTAAATGCATAATAAAAAAAAAAAAAAAAAAAAAAAAAAATGGAAATATTAAATTGAATAATATCATTACAAATAGACAAATTATATATTCGCGCCTCGATGTTCATTCAAAATTTCGAACAATATGTACAAGAAGTTTTTCATTCACATCATAGGTGTGTTAATTGACTGAAAGGACTGTCTTTACACTATGCTCTGTTAATGACCAATGGCTTTTCAAAATATTTATAAATATTATATTCTAGATCAATATCGGTGGTAGATTTCAAGGTAAAAATCTTTTGCTTATTGAAGATGGATTTTTATTACTATTTTTTAGCCATTGTGAGCGTGATAACAACAATATACGACTGAAGGACCGTTAAACAAACTAACTGACGAAAATAGTTAAGGAGACTTCCAAGGTTACGGATAATGAATGAATATATCATGGTTTCGCGGAACGAACAGGGATAAATCTTATATAGATCTATCTAATTCTTCCATGATAGGAACACAAAGGTAAAAGAAGTTGTATTCGTTTCAGAGTGAACTGCGCAGACCCACTATTTCCACTGCACCTATATGCTAAATAATTTAGATTTTCATTTCGGGATTATTCCTTAAAGATGTCTGCTTGAATAATTGTAATAACATCCGTTGTATTTATAAGTAATTTATTGTTATTCGTTGAGCTTTTCCAATTTCAATTTTGCTCCTTGGAATAAAACAAAAACCTTATAGACCAAAAATTAATTTTTTATTTCACTTTGACCCCTATATAAAGTGTAAACACTGAATGGATGCATAGACTTTGGCTTGTTTGGCTGTAAATTTCTTTCTTATTAAGAATCCATGTATTCTAGGATATCACAAATGCTTAACAAACAGTGAGAGACTTGATGGACAGACGGACAGACGGATGGATGCATTCGATGGCAGATTTCGATCTTGTTAAGAATCTATGCATTTTAAGAGGTCATTAGCGTTCAACAACCAGCACGGACGGATGGACACATTGATTTGGCTGCAGATTTCATTTCCCCACTTATGCATTTTAAGATATTATCAGCGCTTAAGAAATGGTAAGAGGCAAAATGGATGGGCGGACGTACGGACTGATTCGGTTGCAAAATTTCATTCTTGGTAAGAAGCAATGTATTTCAAGATATCACTAGTGCTTAACAAACAATAAAATATTGGACGGACGGGCTGACCTGGATAATGAATTTCATTTGGATTAATTTTCCACATATATCGCTGATGCTTTAGCAAACAGCAACTGAAGCCTTATGTGGTGATTAAAAAGCACAAAAACTAAAAAAAAATTTAAATAAGATGAATTATGCAATGGCAATAAAAAATTAAATAATTAAAAAAAATGATATAAATGTTTTTAGATATGTAAAAAAGTTAAGTTAAAGGAAATAATTCATAAATATGGTGAAAATAGATGAAAAAGGTTTGGAAATTAAAAATGGAAAAATAATGGTTTAAAAGAGTATTTTTTTGCACAATTTACCTATGGATGTCATAATTTTGTTGTAATTTCAAAATATTGTTGTTGGAAATTTTGAATTTTGTTACAAAAAAAATATCAAATTTTTAATGCATAACCAAAAAAACTTTTTGTTGTTCTTGTTTTTTTATTTTTAGAGAAAGACAGTGTACAGTGCTGGATTGGATTTTTTGATTGCTGGCGATAGTGATGGTAGTAGAGTTAGGTGAACGCTGGGATAGGTTTAGGGCTTAAATTTTGTGTGTTCAGCCAATTATATAAAGTTTTTATAAGAATTTTTGTGAAAATTTTTGCACATATATGAGTTTTCCAATTTGGTTGTTATTGTTATGTATTTTTCTTTCTTGTTTTCTTTTTTTTTTTTTTCGTTTTTTTTTTTTTCTTGTTTTTAGGTAAATTGCGTGCGTTTTTGTTCTTTTTTTATTATCAAGGTTTTGCTATATAAATAGGTTTGGGAGAATAGGAAAAAAAAAAAAAATATAATAATATCATCGATTAGATGTGTGTAAAATACTAACGACATAATGACGATGGCATACGCGTTAATTTTTTACGATAATAACAATTAAAATTGTTGAAGTGTATGTTGTTGTTGTTATTTTGACATTTTTGGCATTTATTAGATGATGTCAATGTTCCGGATGCTGATGATGACGACGATGTTGTTGAAACATTTAATGACGTCAATGTTGCTAGTGATGTTGATGGTGATGATGATGATACGTTTGATAATGATGATGATAATGTAGTTGCTGGTGTTGTGGTGCTTGTTGTTGTTGTTGTTGTTGTTGTGGTTGTTGTTGTTGTTGGCGTAGCAAATTCATGTTCATAATTGTCATAATTTTCTGGAAAATTATCTACTGTTTGCTGTGTTAATTGTTGTTGTTGTTGTTGTTGTTGCTGTTGCTGTTGCTGTTGCTGGTAGTGCTGATGATGATGATGATGATGGTGGTGGTGGTGATGATTGCCACAACAATTTAGGGATTGTGCACTTCCATTACCATTTCCCGTACCGTTGCCATTACATTTTTTCAATAACGTTTTATTTAATGGAGTCTTTATAATGCACGCAGCATTTATATCGGTTTGATCATCAACTATTGTTAATTTTTTTCCAGTCGCAACATCACCATTATCATCACCATCGTCATCATCATCATCATCATCATCGTCATTATGGATATCTTCAGTTGCTTCATTTCTTTCATGTTTAATTTTTTCCTCTTTCGCATTTTCTTCAATAGTTTTCATAAAATGATCGCCATTATGTTTTACAGCATTAAGGTAATCATGTTGACCATTTTGCTTGTTAATTTGTCCCTCATCTTTTTGCTCTACTTGATGATCACCTTCTAATGTGACGGGTCCTGTCCCAGCTGCTGTTAATGCTGTTGCTGTCGCTGTTGCTGGTCCTGATCCTGATGCTGACGCTAATGCTAATGCTGTTGTATTGGATGATGTCGTTTCCTTTTTTATATCTTTTGTCTCACTATCAGTTGCAATGTTATTATTATTATTCGATTTAATTGTTAATTCAATGGGCGTTAATTGTTGTTGTTGTTGTTGTTGCTGCTGCTGTTGGTGTTGTTGATTTTGTTGATCCACACTCATTTGGTTCAAAGATCTTCAGATGTTAATTTTATTTATTCAATTATTTTTCTTTTTATATTTATTGTAAATAATATTGTTTGGCTAATGGTCTTGAGCAACATGTTGCTGATTTTTGTCTCCTTTCAATACTGTTAAGTCATTCTTCTTATTACAATTTTTTATACGGTGTTTTTTTTTTTTTTTAAGAAATCACATCAAGTTGGTAAATATATTAGAAAATTCATAATTTTAAAAGCAAAAACAAATTCTGGTAGATATTTTTTCAAGTCTTATTTTTATATATTAAAATATCTTCTCTGCAATCTTAAAAAGTTTAGTTAGAATATTAATTTTCTTCTTTTCTTTTTTTTTATTAAAAAATTATTCCACGATTCCTATAAATGCAAATTTTAATATTTAATAATTTAGTGGTTCTTATTGACTTTAAGGGTTTTTAAATACAACTATAAATTGGGCTTCGCAACCCACAAGACGTCTTTTAGAAGCGATATTTTAAAATTTTTAGCGCGAGAATCATGATAAACGAACTGAAAGATTATAAGAAGACCTTTGGCAGTCTTTGTTAAGATGGCTGAGTATTAGGGAAATATCATTTTGGGGGTCGAATATTTTCGACTGGTTCAGCGGGCCTGATAATCGGTCTCCATGATTGCGGATATCAAAAATTTTTTTTTTAAGGAAATTTTTCAAGACACATAAATTTACGAGGGAGAAAGAGAAAGAGAAAGAGAAAGAGAGAGAGAGAGAGAGACAGAGAGAGAGAGAGAGAGAGAGAGACAGAGAGAGAGAGGGAGAGAGAATTGTAACTACATCGTGATGCACTCCTACACTGGGAGATGATCCATTTATACGGAAGATTTGTAACGCATTAAAATTATTCATCTTAAAAGTTTATGCCTTTAGTCTCAGCGGAATTGAATATTGTATAAAACATGTAAGCAAATTATATTCGGCCGTAACCGAATCTTTTGCACCCGTCACTGTTTTCCAAAAAAAAAATAAAAAAAAGTGTAGTAACGCTAACTTCTCATATTCTGTGAATAAAGTTGAAAATTTATATGGTGCGGTTTGTACTTTATGACTAACAAGCAGGTGTGTGGGCGTTGCAGGCAAGTTTGGGTCATTTTCAATTTCTTTTGCAAATTTGTCGGCGAAATCTTCATTTTTGCGAATGGAAGAACGTTCATCGCAGACTATTACTCAGTTACGCAGACGGACAAATGGACAGACGAATAGACGAACCTTTTTAGGTGCATTCCAAAGCTGAAATTGGCCAAAAATTTATACACCTTATGGTGTTTTTGAAGTTAGCTTCTGCGTCTTTCAAAGGTATTGACAAAGATAACAAAATTTTACTATACCATGGCATTGGGTAGGTGTGATTAATTCTCTCAATCTTGAGCAGCTACTACAACGTCACCCATTGAATATACGGTTAAATTTTTGCAAGTTTATCTGTTGCAGTTTATGAGTCATGAGAAAAAACCCAATTTTTTATGTCTTTGGAAACACAGAGGTTCTTGGTCCACTTGCAATACCAATCTGCGTGCAAGAGCTTCCAATATATCTGTCAAATTTCACGACGACAGCTTTATTTTTACGGTGAAGAGAACGTTTACAACAGACATTGCGCAGACGAACGGACGGACGGGTGGGCATGTTTAAATCGATTCAGAATTTGATGATGATGGGATCGCTAAAGTTTTCTTCTGATCATTGCAAGCGTTTTAATAAAGTTAATAGACCTCTCATCGTTTGGTTATGGGTATAAGGATATGGTAAATGATCAAGCTCCTGCTTTATAAATATTAAATAGGTACACATGAGGAAAACCAAGACGATTACAGCGCCATCTGATATGTAGGATGAACCCAAATGTGTTACTTTATGTATATATATACTATATATATATTTTTTATTTATTATTATATATATTGTATATATATATATGGATATTTTCGTACATATATAAGAAGATTAATATATTAAATTAAAGAGAAAGGTCGTAGCGTTTCCCTTGATAGATCACTTTAACATCGTGTAAGTTTGACATTACTAAACCTATCAGACCGTACTATGGCGGATTTCAAAGGTGATGATCAACAAGATTATTAGAATGGAAAGAAAATCTTATGAGATTGGGTAATTTAATGGAAAATAATTGACTTTTGAATATGAGTCAAAATTTTGAAATACGAAACTTGGTGCAAAATTGCAGGTTGATGTCACGTAACATGACGCTTTCCATTAGATGAGGGAAATGCTTTAACATAGACAAAGGATGCAATAACTAATTCGGCGATAACCCGCCACAGAGCTAAATGAAAAATCTCACGCGTTTTAACCAAGTAATGCACTGTTTCCACTACAGTTTGACGTGCTAAAAGGCATCGGGGAAATGTGAGATGTGTACCGATGCTCATACGCGCGGCGTGGTATGAATACATATACATTATTAGTTCAGTTTTTCGCCTATAAAATGCAAAATAAGGCTCAAAAAATATGTTTTAATTTGCGTGCAAAGAAACGCCACGAACTTCTTTTCACTTGATTCAATATATATGTATAATAGTATAGCAAGTTCCTACTCGTACTACATAAAGTTTACTACTTGGGTCTATAAATAAATTTTCTACCTTGCAATTTGCCGTTTTACAAAGTCTACCTTGTGTTGCATTCAATTCTCCCGAAATTTTTAGAAATAATTTGGATTTTGGTGCTTGTACAGTTGTATAAGTTTCAGTTGTGGTAACCAGCTGCCGTCTCGTGTAGGTTAAAGCCTAAACAGATGGATCTCATGTAAGAGAATCTAAGGCATTGTGTTGTGTTCTGGGTTTAGCTGAATTACACCGGAAAAATATACACCTGAAGCTACGGAAACGATTAAATCGACTTGGAATGGAAATGCAGTAACTTATAAAACAAGTAGAAAATGTTTTGCTAGATTGCGGGCAAAAAATAGTTGTCTTGAAAGCGATATAGCTCATATACGTCCGTTCGTCTCCAGCAACAGAAAACCCAGGAAGTGATATTCAATTTGGGGCTGGGAACTTCTCTCAATTACAGATTATTCTCCAGAAATGTCTAATTAGGAGTGGTTCACATTTAGCTGGAAAGTTAAGGATATACGATAATGGACCAATAACGTTTTCTGATATGTGCACACCCAAGGTATCTATTAAAAAGCAAAAGACTGTAGACTGCAGAAAAGTATGCTTCGAATTTTATGAAAAAAAGTTGCAAATTTATTTGTAGACCTAATATCTATGCAAGAAAGTTCTGTAATCAAAATGTTTAATCTTAGATATCTTCTTCTTATATATGTATTGAGAAATAGCGTATCGAGTACTGGATTTGATAAACATTGTGTATAAAAACATAAATTTGCAAGATAAAGAATTTTGCTTCTTGTTGCGCCAAAATACCCTGGAAACGCGAGCCTGAGTATTTAGTGGGGCTAAGACAAAAGTATATTTATACCCTACACTACTTGTAGTACAGAGTATATTAAGTTTGTGCGTTGGACGTATGTAACACCCAGAAGAGCTTAATAAAGCAGCCACAACTTTAATTATACCGATCGCTTCAGAATTATTTTCTAAGCTAATAGCTCGCAATTTTTGAGGTATTTGGATCATTTACGGCTACGTTTTACATCACAAACATATGCGGGCGTTATTATGAGAAGTAAGCCTTTATTTGGAGAGAAAGTCTAATTTGTACATTTCTATAACGGAAAATGAAAAATATTAATATTTTTAGGAAGTAAACTAAGTTTGCTGAATTTGCTCATTTGATGTGTTCGGGCTACCTCCAATATGCGAAGTATCCCTTGGGATGAAAATAATTTGTAATTTTTCATTTATTATTTTCAAAACTAGTAAATATGAAGTAGTGTAGGGTATTTCACGGTCGGTCTTGTCCGGCCTTTAATGTTCTTACTGGTTTATATTGAAATGTTTTTACATACGTTCGTCAATTATATGTCAATACAACAAACACATGTATATGCACAGTTGTAACTTTCGAAATGATTGGCATTTATAGGAACACTTGGCATGCTTCGGAAGCATTTACTATACCTAACATGCATCCTTATTTGTTAGTTTCTTATGATTTATGGAACTTGGAAAAAAAAAAAAACCAAAAAAAAAAAAAAAAAATTAGGAAAATATGTCCCCATGGTTTAAAAAAGTCTTGTAATTAAATTTTTTTTTCTCCTTTTTTTAATATTTTCCGTTCCTCAGTGTGATTAAAAGAGTTTAAAATAAGTTTAATTATCAGCCTTCATTGTGATTTTATTTTCTTTTTATGTTCAGATATTTAATGAATTTTTTTTTTCTTAACCATTTTATTTTTAATTTTTTTCTTTTAAGAATATTTTTTTTTTAAAATATTTTCAAATATATTTTCTTAATATTTGCGTATAAACTCTCTTCGATTAATTGCTAATGGACGGAGTGTTGAAAAAGATATTAATTTTCAATTAAAACACTTTTCTTTTTATGTCTTTTATTTATGATTTATCTGAAATTGGAAATTTTTATTTAAACTATAATTATTATATTATAAGGTACCAAAAAAGTATTTGCCTTCTTTTCTTTTTAACTAACTCAATCAAACGATCATCAGTTGATATTATTGTTTTTTTTTATTTTTATTTTTTGCTTTTAAAATGAACAAAAAACGAAAGAATTATTTCGCTATTTTTTGCTGTGCAATTTAACTCGAGGACTTACATGTAAACGAACTGGACCGGAAACTTGTAAAAATAATGGCAGTGAGAGAGAGGGAGAGGGAGAGGGAGAGATGTTGCTAAACAGGGAATATTATTTAATTGATTTTAAAAGTTTAATTACATCAAAAAGAGGGGATTAGTCTCCTTAGCAACATGTTGCAGGAAACATAAGGACAGTCTCTCAAATTCATCATTCTGTTTGTGATGGTTAATAACATTCTATTAAAGTAGCTTCAAGTTAAATCTATAAATGTTTGTCACAAAAACATGCAACATACCGGTCCGAAAGAGGTGAAGGAAGAAAAAGAGGCAGAGAGTGGTTCGAAGAATAGTGGGTTTGTGTCTAATTGATTGGCCGAGGGAGAGAGAGGTTTGGCGAACGGACTTTAAGAATTGGCCGCCGCGGTCTTGTAATTTAACACTCTACGAATTTTTTTTCATATTCCTTTGTGGCTAAGTTAA